GAACCCCATCTGGCAATCTATTACTCCACTTTCATCCCAAAGCCTTCGATAAACCATCTTGCGAACTGGCTGAAACCGGTTTTGCTGTTTCTTGATACAGCCGTTGCTCGCCTTTGACCGATATTACTGCTCACTAGCTTGTCGGACCTATTTTAAGGTGCTTTATTGTCTGGCGCTGCTAACGCTTATGTCGACCTCATCCAGCAGGGACCTGGTGATTGTTTCACCACAAGTACCATCGCTGAACAATCTTGTCACAAGGGGACCTAAAACCGAGATTTGCAGGCAATCTTCAGTACTAAGCGTATCCCACGGCCAATCTGGTCAAATTTATTGGCTGAGAGCGAGTACAAAAAGGTTGGCTAAGAAAATCAACGATAACAAAACTGAGGTTGTTTCTAACCGACGGCAAGATAGCCCAAGTGTGAAGCGCGTCAAGCCAGTTGTGAAGATTTTTCCAAATCACCGACTATTTCGTGCAGAAAGACTTCAAAGATTGCTTGTTTTTGTGTGATCCGCTGGAGTCATCTTACCAGTTGGATGGGAGCACTGTTTTTCAGTTTCAGTTTGAACAACTATTAACCATTAGCGCCGGTTTTGGTTACTATCTTTTGACTACCCGTTTAGATGAACGGTAGGAGAAAGACAAGTGCAAAGTTGAGTGGTAGAAGTTTTCGCACTTCATTGGACAGCTACCGCCTGCCCAAGCTGGGCAGCCCCCAGCCAATAAGGTGCTTTCCTGTCCACGTTCCGCTTGTCCCACTGGATTCATGAGACTAAGAGCCAATCCCGAACAGCGGATCGACAATCAACGCACCAGCGAAAAAAACACTAAACCGAAACCCGAAGACCTTGCATGACAGATCTCTAGAAGCTTCCACACTGGTGGTTCGGTTACGCTCCCGCGTTGGATCTACGCCCCACTGCCCTGTGGGTCAGACTATCGAGTCGAAGTCTCCGGTAAGAGTTCCCTAAGGCAAACCCCTTCGTCCGTGTGGTCTACTGCGAACTATGTCGTGCCCTAAAGTCTGGGGCACCCATTTGGAAAACCCTCTTTCCCATTTGTCTAGTTTTTCCTCTCAATCCCAAATAATCCTAGATGCCTTCTGTGTACGCCACCCACCGGATATCACTCAGCGTTTTACCAGTAAGACCAAACAATCAGAAGTTATGGGATTTTTAAAGCCGAAATTCTTTTTTCACTTAAGCGCAATCAACGTCCACACAACCCATCAGATCATTCAACAAGCTGCCTTGGCTAGAACCCTTGAAACTGTCCATTTAGATGTATGCTGTGTAAACGAAACACGCACACAAGATCCTATTTGAATCCTCTTGCCTTTGTCCAGGTCCAACCTCATCCTCACGCTTCACTCTCCGTGTGTCAGGCGATTCGGCATCCGAAGATCGCGGTGTTGCTGGTGTTGGGATTGCGCTAGGTGCCAAGACTGAGCACCTGCTTCTTGACTGGATTCCGGTTAGTAGCCGACTGTGCGCTATGTCTCAACGGTTCAGCACGGGCCAACAGCTACAGAACGAAGCGTTGATGATTATTCGTCTTTGGAGCACTGTAACGTCCCCAGTCGAGAACGACGTCGGAAGTCGGTGCAGTAAAAGAGCAATCAGTGGTCTACATGGTAATGAAGCAACCACAATTTCATCGAAGTTTGCAAATAAACACCAGCTCTAGCATGCCAAACAATACCCACAATAATAACCCTACATTAGAACGTTAGACAGAAATAGTTCTTCTTGGTTTATATGTGGAATCCTACTTCAGATAATCAAATTATTGAACCACGTGACAGTTGCGCTAGCGATGACGCAACACAAGGAACATTCCATTGTCACTATTCACTTAGATCAAACCGAAGTGTTTGCTTGCCAACTTCAAAACGTTCTCACAAACAAGGAGGCGAAAGAGACGAGGTAAGCCTTGGAACATGCTCATAGTGCAACAAATAAGGAACGCACAAACCTGGCACAATGACGGAATAAGTTCGGTGATGTAGTTCTCCAAGTCCATTTCGCGCAAGTACCCCTCACCTGCGACATCGTACAGCGAGATTCCAATCCGAGTTTGCTGGAGCCAAACCTTTTTCATAACGTAGTTGAAAAACGACATAATACTGATGCGAGACAGGCGATCGTGATTGCGCATCAGCTTGGCGAAAACACTGGCGGTGAAATAGGGTCTAGGGGTGAAATAAAAAGGACCGAGGAGAGAAAGGAGAATGAAATATAAACAACGAGCTCATCAATGGAACGATAAGCAGCAAGAAATTAGACGCTTTGGGTAGCATGTACCATTGGGAGAAAATCACTACTTTTTGCAGAGACATATCCGATAAGGAGCGGTAACAGAACCAGAACCAGTGTTTTTAGAACCGTAAACCACGTGATGGATCACCGATTGTAATTCACACGATCGGTGGATCAGTCGTTAGAAGCCAAACCAGATGTTTTGCCATACAAAAAGTGTTTACACTCAAAATTTTAGCTCCCGTGATCCGAAGGTATTGTAAGGGGGAGGTAGAAGGGAAAAATTTACAGTAAATCTAGTTTATTTTGTTTTGACTGGATGGATAATGTCAGTGACAGGAAAATCGGACAAGAGGGGTTTTGCCGTTTGGCTGCTTTGGGGGTAGAAGGGGAGTGGAAGCCAATCGTGTCTGACCTGGAAAAGATACATGATCTAGGAGACCACTTGTTTGAGCTCTGGAGTTGCGAGGCAATGAAGGAGGGACGGGTACACAGAAGTAAAATTTATACTGCGATGCAGTTCCATAGGTCAATCACTGTTCCCGAATGGAACAAACACCTGAAGATGTTTGTTCATCTCGTATTATTATATTTCACAATTGTCTGAGGACAGACTGTGTGCCAGGCAAATCATGGTACAAGAATCTTCATAAAAAAGAGAAAACGTTCCATGTTTGGCTTGTGGGCTGAATACTGCCAGGTTGCCCAGGCCAAGGCCGGTGAATTTTATTGTGGAATTCACAACCGGAGCCTTTCGATATAATTCTCGGTGGACGGTAACTTCAATGACTAAGCTGGCTCAAATCTACCACGTAGCAGTAATTTAGCTTTGGCGTGTCGTAGTACAAAACTGCAGGTCCTGTCTTGAGTCTGATCACAGATTATCTTTGATACAGTTCATGCCCCGACTCAATGGTAGCGGACAAAACCAGCAAAAGTGATTGGTACATTATCGATTCTCTGAATCAGTCCCGGGGATAAAACGTCGGATACCGGCTCTTCATCTTCGGTGGAAAAAAAATGAAAGCAGCAAGTAGGGGTTTCTTATGAAAGACTATGTGAACCATAAGATCATAACTGACCATCGTAGGTTTTTAGTCAAACGCCATGACCTCTTGAAACCTAAACGTTTTGACATATGGTAGGCAGAAATCTCAGGATTCGAGAGGTTCAAAGAGGTCGTAGTGGCGCTTGTGCATTTACTCATTATCTTTGCAACCACATGAATTGTCTGTTTTCAGCTTAACACTGTTTTCAAAACTCGTTTTTTTCCAGCGGTTCACCTAAATGGACAATCAAAAAAGAACAATCGAAACCGATGAAAGGAAAATACAAACTTATTGTTCAAACTGAAATTTCGACCGGTGATAAAAATGCATTCCAAGAGACTCAAAAAAACTAAACAACAACAATCGATTTTAATCAGAAAGAAGACGCATTCAGAATGCTTCTGCTAGTGAGTAAGTGGTACATGTCATTATTTTTATTATTTACTACTAATAATAATGATAATAATAAAAATAAAAGTGGTACATATGACAATCTCTGTCCTGTCTCATGAAAATTATTAGCGGCCATCAGTATCAAGTTTTTTTTACAGCCATTAACCACGCACCTTCGTGCGCCCGTTTTGGTTCATCATCATCATTCTTGTACAGCGAGATACAGATAAGTGAACTTCGCTGATCGCTGCCAAGCTCTCGATGTGCATAAAGTGAGTGATAAAATACAAGATGGAGAGAGATTGGGCCTAATTGGAGGGAGACAGAAAGTTAGCCTCTATGGTCAACACAGTACACAATCTAAGTGTATACATACCTTGTCAAGCATTCTGACTTGATGAGAAATGACAACAAGAACACCACTGCTGCCGGTTAGTTGCCATATTCTTCGGTGTCTCGAGTCAACCAGTTAGAATGCTTCGGATCCCAACCTGGAAGAAGGGAGATATCTACTCTACCTAACGGCTCTATGCATTTCTTCATGCCTTGTTTTAACGTCATCTGTTGACGTTGACGTGGTTTCCTAAAACATGGATCCGCAACAGCGAACAAGGCGCGGTGCGATAGACGCCAGGTGGGTATGCGAAATATGTCCCAACCAACGAAGCCCACTGATGTGAATTCGATCGTATAACAAATTCTCCATCGAATCATTACCAAATACGCAACGCCTTACTTCAGAGTTGCTTACACACTCGCTCGATCCAACCTGTGCCAAACCACGTAAAAATCTGCAATCGAAGATTTTTAGACGATGAATATCTTCCACTCGCCTATTAGGGGCTTACAACCGTAAAGCAGAACGGGCTGCACACCCCCTTTGGTTGCTGCCTTTTGGCTGCACATTTGTATAAAGAAGCAGTATGATAATTGGAACGCTGAGAGCAAATTTAAGGGGACGATAGATAATTCAAATAGACGGGTTGCAAGAATACTGAGTGGATGCACGCTTTTCGGTAATCAAATTACCACTTAAACAGTTTTCGAACACAAGATCCTTTACTGCAGCTACTGTTCAGCCACAAGTGGCCTACGAGAGACAGAAACACGGTATCGGCGACGTACTTAGCCTTTGGAATCGCTTCGGCAGCAGCCTTCTTGAAATTTTGGTAATCTATGTACTTTTCGCCATTAATTGCGGGCGGAGATTGAAATCGATCCAAAAGAAACCAAAAGCACTAGAAAGGAAAATATCAATTCTGAACGGGATATAAACATACTTGTAGCTCTTCATTCTCCAGTAATTCGTGACTTTTGCGTTCCAAAAGTACAGCTCTAGTGAACTTATTATTACGTGAGCAAGGAAACAAACCTGGCCTCTTCACGCAACTTTTGAGGTAAAATTTCGTGATCTTGTGGTACCTGCAGCGCAAATAAAACAATCAAACTAGATACATACGCGTTGGAAAAACCCAGGCAGCTGCTGTTCTTCTAACGTGAGATTCGACTGCTCGCCGCCCCATAAAGTGTAATAATCTTTGAACAAACGATCGACTAATTCATTGTTTCCTAGGCGAAAAATGGCGAAACGTGCAGAGAGCCAACCTTCCATTGAATAGTATGGCTATACAGTTTTCGTGGGAAACATGTGATCCTGGTAATGGTACTGAAATACAGTTCGAGCTACACTGTTCAGTTCAGTTCAGTTCAGATAAAGAAAAACTAAAAACTAAAAAAAAACAATATGCATAAGACAAACCCACGTTCTATGCACAAATAAGGCATCGAAACTTATGTTACAATGAAAGTATACTCTCTCCACAAAAAGAGCTTCTTGTAACGCGAAATCAGAAGACGAGTTCGCTGGACAATATCAATTCGTGACACTAAACAAATGGTCAATACAGATAATATGCACAATACGAATTTACAGTCAAGTACGG